GGGGGGGGGGGGGGGGGAATGGAACTATTTACATAATATTTGAAGGGTATTTTAATCTAAAGGAGCATTGGCGTACGAATATCAGAACCATGAAGAACAACAACATAAGTTTTGAAACTATGAATGACAACGGAGCACATTTACCAAACTACATGTGAATATGTGATATTGGTGCAATAAACTCATCTAGTGTGTGCCTCATGAGACAAATAACTGCATTCACTAAGTTTAGCAATGAGAGTAATGAAGTGACAAAACCCAACTCTAGCTATTGTGTTTATTTATCATCATCAATTAGCGAGATTCATACCCAAAAGATAACATGTCCTTTTCCTAGTAGCTTAAGTTGGGGCGAAGTTTTTTCACAATAAACATAGCATGCGAGTGTGAGATGATCCTCAATCAAATGACTCCAAATCCCAAGTAGACAATTTCTAATACATTCTGTGTTTCTATAATACAAAACGACAATGCTAAGGTTAGCGAAGTTCATACTGTTACATAAGACTAAGTAGTCTGTTAAGACTTGTACATCCAGGACGTACTCTCTAATTCATTTTTAAATTGCACTTATAGTCTTGTCACATAATAAGTTTCACATTATTCAATTAATGCAATCACTCCCACCACAATACCATCAAATTCGGTACATTGGCCACTTCAATAATTTATTTCAAATTCTACTCCGGCCAAATGGACCCGTAACTAATGCACCATTGAGCTATTTTCAATAAAATAGAGGTCATTTACTCAAAATGACAGACAAATGCATCTATAACTCCAAGATAGAATGTCTATAAAGCAAAGAAAAAAAATCAGTCAATAATGTTTTTTAGAGAGAACCCCATTGCTTAAACCAAGGAATGTGGTGCAACACAATCTTCCTCACACATAGTGTATGAAAAAGTTTATTGTACTATGTCCCGTCTCCAAATCTCCCATCCAGATTCACGAACAGCCACCCAGCTGCGAAATAAAAAAGAGTCCATTATTACTCTCCTTAAACAAATACTCCATATGTTGATTCACCGGATGCTACCCATGGGTTTGAGAGGGGGAGCAGATCTAACAGTCTGAGACCCATATTGATAAACCACATATAATCAGCAAAAAAAGGTTCATGCGTACCATAATATAATCTATCTCCTCTTGAGACACTGGCGTTCTTTTGGGTTGATCAGAAGCTTTTCCTCCGACACTCGCGTTCGAGGAAGGCCTAGAGAAAAAAGTTTGAGGAGCATCCTTAGATGCAGATGTTGTCTCATGTTGGGAAGTAAAACCTGCAGAAAAATCACATTCATTTTTACAATGATGCAGGATTGGTTTTTTTATTTAATAGAACATGTAACTAAACACAGAAAATATATGCATTTCCAAACATCGAGAATCCATTTTTATTCTCAAACCTACATCTGCTCGTTTTGCCCTTTTTTTGAGCATTGAAGGAGATTTTCGAAGGATAAACTTTAGAGATAGGTCGCAAGAGACTAGGTTGTCATGGTTTGGTCACGTGAAGCGGCGTGCAACTAAGGTCTAGTGTGTATGCGAGAGGCTTGCGATAGTAGGTGGGTTTGGGGAAGGGGTAGACCGAGGAAGAATCGGAAGGAGGTGATTAGACAAGATCTAGGATTAGGGTAGTTGGATAGCCATTTGGACCGGGGTGCTAGTTTTGTCCTTAGCATTTTGTGTATTGTAGGCTTGGGGTCTTTCTCATTGCATATGTTTATGTCTTTTGTCTTATTGTGCTTTCCTTATCCTCAGTTTGGTCTTTGATCCTTTTTGTTGGCTATCTGCTCTCTATATTGCTTGAGCTGGGGTCTCTTGGAAACAACCTCTACTTTTAGTAGGGTTTGTGGGATTACATTCGGTTGTTTGTTTGTTGTTGTTGTTGAAGGAGATTTTCGAAATAAGTAATCAATGGCCAACCCATAATTTGAGAAGTTGATAATGGGTTGAGTAAAGACCAGGTACATAGATGGCAAGCAGCTCGCACAGTGTGAATAATTATAAAAGATTAAGTGCATTAGACCAGTTTAACTAACAGAAAAACTGAAATCTTCAGTGTTTTGACACTACCTAGCTGCCCTTACTGCATAAGAGAAAGGGACTAAAGCAATGTACTACTTTAGAACAAGGGAAAAAGGTAAGCCAAGTTTCTGTTGTGCAAGCATCCAGATTTGTCCTATCATTGTTATAAATTACAATTCATATTAGTAAGGTTTTCTATCAAACACTAACTTATTCGGGATCATTACTTGTACAAGCTGATGAATAATAAAACTAGTCCGGAAATTATTTAGAAAAACTAGAACGAATCTTATATCCTGATCTTTTACATATTATTTCTTTCTCTATAAAACACCTCTTCAAAATAATTTTTATATAATTCAGCCATTTCTCTCATTCCAACAAGAATTATCCCCTCAAAATGAACCTAATTTCATTTTTATCGGTCAACTAAACAGTGGCATATGTACCATGAGGATATAAATTAAGAACAAAGATGAAAAAAGTTTGTTTTGGGAATTCCAACTTCCTAGGTCACGATATAAGCCCATGAGGAGAAATGGTCAGAGAATGATAATTACCCATATAATTAGAAAACAAATTGCCAGGGATCCAATATAGGTAATAATTTCTAGTGCATACAGGACATGAACAGTGCATAGTAGTCAACAAATGACAATCACGAATGAACAAATTTTTCTAGTGCTCAGTCCTCATACTTTGTCACCTTAGATGAATTGAATGTTCAATAAAGTGAATGATCATCATTGGTAATCCTTCATATATTCAAAACTAACCACCTTTACGTCATTATTAACAGTTCTGCTATGGACACTGAAATCATCAAAAGAAATTATAGATGGTGGTGAAATTGATGAGGAAGCAATGAACGAAATGCACAAAAAGGTGGTTCACAGCTCACACCAGAAGGGGCTTATGGTGCATTGAGACAGGGACAGGTAGTCATACGGGAATGGGGGCGGGAACGGGAAACACAGGCTCTTCCAAATTTTACAGAGGATTTGGGTGCCGTGATGTTCCCAAGTACCCAAATGGGGACATTTTGGGGATGAAGAGCAGCTCTAATTTGAAGCATCCGTGCAACATAGCAAGTAGCTAAGTAGCATAGAAGCTACAATTAATAAACTACTCAAAACAGTAAAACCTTTCAAAATAAAACCAAGATATCTGTACAAGTGGCCGCTGTAAGAGTATTTTGCAATATATTGGAACTTGGGGTGGGGGACTGGGGGTCAAACCCTTAATCCAAGAGTACGTGACACAAACAAGTGGGTCACCTACAGGGAGTCTATTCCACTTTGTTTTGGAACTCAAAAGAAAAATTCAGACCCTTAATCCTAAATAAGCTATGAATAATGATTCATCATCCAATTAGAAGGCAGTCAAGGCACACTAGAATTTTAAAATTTTGAGCTTCTGCAGGTGCTGTGGATTAATGTTTTAATTTCATAAGCTCAGAATGAGCACTTAAACAGAGACAAACATTTTCTCATCGGTAAATTGACTTGGAATAGAATCTCAAATTACGAAAGCAGAATTAGGTTGTAATCGTAGCATTGAAAAATCAACCTATCACATAAGCTAGTCACAGGATTGGCTACAGATGAAACCCTCGTTATAAATGAAAACAAATACTCCATACTACAAGTACAAAAGACAACATGTCAAGACATTATGTTGTCCTTTTCTTAGTACAGTTTTGCTAATGACAATCATAGCAGCCGTTTGAACAAAGCAATCATCACACCTTTATCATTTCTTTTCAGGCAAACAGTGCATTTATTGCTGTAACAAATGCCCATACTTTACAACAAAGATACTCCTACCCTTGGAATAAAATCTCACAGAACAAAAGCAGAATTAGGTTGTAATTGCAGCATTTAAAACCAATCACATAAGCTGACACAGGAGCAACTACATCTCAAACGCTCATTATAAATGAAAACAAATACGGAGTACTCCATATAACAAGTACAAGACACAACATGACAAGGCGTGATGTTGTCTTTTTTTGTAGTAGGGTTTTGCTAATAACAATCCTAAGGGAAGTTTATTCAATGTATTTATCGCACCTTTATTCCCCATTTTCTAGAAAAGGAGCATTTTTTGGTGTAAAAATGCAACTACTTGCCAAAAAAGATAATTCTTCCTCCAATTAAGTTCCCACTTTCCTTATATGGTTGTCCCTGAAAAAGGCCCTCATGCCTCATGTCAACTAAATTCATAGCCAAAAAACAAATCTACATTTGGGGGCATTTAAGGAAGGTTGACAGAAAAAATCTCTCTGTACAAATTTGTGCATAATTTGTTCATCAATCAACTGGGAAAGGTAAGTGGGGATGAACGGAGTAAAATAAAAGAGCAATATATGCATCTTTTTGAGAAAAAAAGTGTATCAAAGTGCTATAAATTTGCCTTATCAATAATCCTTAGCAAAACCATTTTTATAGCAATCATTCACAAAGCCATTTTAAGTTATCACAGAATTCAATGCCAACTAACCCTTTCACATGCCCACTTACCATTATCTATTCAAAAAAGGACTCCAAGCTCCACAAGCATGTACTCCTTTAAACAATAATATCAATGCACAATTTCCTCAATTTCCAACAAACATACAAAAATTCTAGAACAGATATACCCAATCACATATTTTAGCAGATACGGAGTATATTATTTCAGAAACCATATATAGAACATGAATCAACCGAAACCCTAGTAACAGTTACATAAATATATACAAAAACAAAAATTTAAAAAAAGATACGAAGTACTATATAGCAAAGAAGATATATGATTTGAATCTAGAAGCGTATCGGTATACCAGAAGGCTTAACATGTCGCTGGGGAAACTTGATGCGAGGGATTCTCTTCAAGGCATGAGCACCACCACCCATGTCTGCCCGTCCTTTCAATTCGTAGCTTGTTATGGGCAATAATGTTCTTGAAGTTTAAAAAAAGAAGAAAAAAAAAGGACGAAATAGCTTTGTTTCGGAGTTAGTGGAAAATACATAACTTATTCATTTTTCTCAAAACTTATCCTTTTTATTTATTAGTTACTAGTATCATACTTGTGCGTTGTACGATTCCTATTAATGTTATAAATTTATGTTGATAAGTACACCATATAATGAAATATAATGTTTTTCATTTATGTAAAACATTAATATCATATAAATTACAAATTCTAAAAACGTTTTTATAAACTATATTAGTGGTACACCTTGTGGAAACATGCTCTACATCGTCAATAAGAATATTCAAGCTATAACGATTTGTTACTCTCGAAATCGCAACATATAATTGTCCATGACTAAACACTGATTTCCTAACACTACAAGAAAATGCTAGTTCTGCGACGGAAATCTGTCACGGATATGTTTTTGTGCGGCGGGTATATAGATGTCGAAAACACAAAATTTCCTTCGACGGGCAAAGTGTTTCCGTCGCAAATTTGCGACGGATAGAATAGAATCGTCATATGTAGCAGGCTCAATTCTTGGAAGTGCGGGAGGAAGCTAGAAAAAGGGGTTTAAAGTCACCGACCAACAGATATGGTACTCGCTTGTCGAGGGCCATAATGTGAAGAACGGCGTGCCTGGAGTCAATGAATACGAGCATGAAATGAGGAAGATGAATCTGTCTTCCAAACCTCGACGTTCAGCCAAGACTAGCAGCAGCGCACTGGAGATTGCAGCACTTAGAGCGAAAAATGAAAAGCTGCAGGAAGAGTTCGATAATCTGAGATTGAGCTTGACGTTGACCATCCAAGAGGAGTTAAAGAAACTACTTGGTGGTAACCTTCCTCCACGAGGAGATGACGACGACACATGATGGTTAGGAAATCCTGACGCAGTAATTTAGATATATGTGTGTGTGTGTGTGTAACGCCGCCAACCCGGCCTATCAAGATTAATTAATTAAAAATAATTAATTAACTACTGAGACAGACTCGATGGAAATTATAAATATTCTTCGTTTGACAATAAGGTTTAAACCATTGAGTAGGGTTCGACGGATCGAATCTAACGGTGAAATCGGATTTGGATTTGGAGCCCGTGGGCCCGGAAAGTACATTTGGGCCAGGTATGTTCAGTTAATACGGGGCCCAAAACCCCAAAAGTATAAATATAACCCTTCAAACGCCTAAAATCCCTACACGCCTCCCATAATACTCATGTAACCTTCCTCTCTCTCTCTCTCTTTCGGAACACAACAGTGGCGCACGAGGAAGAAGAAGGAAGAAGAAGAAGAAGAAGAAGAAGGAAGAAGACGGAAAGAGGAAGAGGTCTAGTGTTCGCCGCGACAAATGGTAGGTAGGTATCGTTGACACAGTACCTGGCTACCGTCAGCTTCCCGTTTTCACCTCGCTCTGTCTGTACCTGTCACCAAACGGTACCTAGGTACTCGATGGGCGGTAGGCTCTACTACCGGATCGGTAGAGTCTTCCGTGACAGCCTACCGGTGGGGTACTCCAGCTGACACGGACGGTACCCACGTGCCGTGGGGTCGGTAGCACCTACCGCCAAGGGTACCGTGAGGTACCTGAACGAGTGTGAATTTGCTATTTGCGTTGAGGATCGAGTTTGAGACTTTATGTGTTGCATAATGACGGTAGACATGAGTGTCAATACCCAGAGTTAGGACACTATTTGAGTATGTTGGATGTGATGAATGATGTTGTATGATGCATGAACATGTATGTTGTGAATTATTGATAATTAAAGGATGGAATAACTAGAATGAACTCTAGGAGCTGACCTGAATGGATTAGTGGCAAGTTATGCCATAAGTTAGTAAGTTAGAGTCATGTGGTACCTGCTGGGTCCAATGGCTGTCCGGGTAAAAATGTGTACAAGGGGATCTAAGAATTGTTGTTTCGAAGGACACAGGGATCTCACCCACCCAACAAAAAACTCCTGAGTTGGTTTGAGCATGACCTTCGTTCCGAAGGGGAAGGTCATGACTCCTATAGGCAAGTCGTATACAATTAAGCTTTAACCTAGCATAGGTTAAGAGCCAATTCAAGTACAGAAAGAAAGTAAAGTAAACAAAGAGGAAAGAATCTGTTATTATATCCTGAATATTGTATCTCTTGAATGATGTTGTTACTGTTATACATGATATATCCTATCTGTTGATATGATTGTGGTGAGCATGTTATGTGCATGATATCGTATGAGGATATGGGCAAGTGGGATCATCTATGGGTATAACTGTATGTTAGATATTTCTCACTTAGCTTCAATGCTGAGCGTGTAGCCTTTTTTCCTATTTGCTACATGTAGGTAATCCAGGAAATGATGAACTTGGAGCAAATCCCGGAGGGCGATGAGGAGGCTGAGATGTGCGTGGCAATGTTCGGAGACTTTGAACTCTTATTTATTAGTCAATAGACTTATTACTATTACGGGCATGATTCCCAAGTTGTGTTTTGAATTACGAATTAAGCTTCCGTAAGCGTTTGATTATTACTCTGATGGATATTGAATTATGTTTTGAAATGTTATTTAAATTGTTTTGAAAGCTAAATTGTGTTTGGATACCAATTTAGTAGCAACCCGGTTCGCTGATCCGAGTATTCGGGTTATGCGGGTTAGGGTGTTACATGTAGAACATCTTTACATTAAGAATTTCAAGTTTAACGTATGATTACAATGAATTATGATATATTTGTATGAGATTTTATGTTTTTATTAATGCTCTTTGAAATCAGATATAAAACTGCATTTTGTTCTCTGTTGTGAATGCATTTTGTCCCCTGTTGTGAATGCATTTTGTTCCATATTTAGTGCCTACAAGAAATGGTAAAAAATGTTGTATCTGGGAGCAGGTTCAGACCTTTAGCGACGGATCTTCCACGTCGCAGACCATTTTCGCATACTGAAAGAAGACTTCGTGGCAGATCTGTGGCAGATCTACCACGGAAAATAAGTCCATCGTAGAAAATAAAAGGTAGAACATAAACAAATCCGTTGCAGATCCGTGGCAGGTCTGCCACGGGAATTGTCTTCCATCATTGAATTCAAATTTGCCACAACTTTTCTGCGACTACTCAACTTCGTCACCGATCCGTGGCAGATTATACATCCGTCACGGAATTTCAGTTTCTGCCACAAATTTTTTCCGTGGCAAATATGTCCATTTCTTGTAGTAATAATAATCCGACGTTGTTTTAATGATTGGCAACTCTTATTTATTTCCATTGCTTATGAAGTAACCACACAGAAATGTAAGATTGCTTTTGTTTGGCTGAGACATTGTTTTATTATTTATGTTCAATTTTTCATTCAATTAAAAATAATAAAAAGTATTACTTCATTTGTCCATTATTTTTGTTACATAGATTAGTTATATGAACCTAAAGAAATGAAAAAATGTATTGATTTATATTTATTTTTAAAAGAAAAAATGGAGTGAATGTGAGTCACACAATATTACCAATATAATATAGGAGAAAAATTTACTGACATAGAAAAAAATAAAAAAAATAAAAAATTGAAAAAGTAGAGTAAAAACAATTTGAATAAAATATAAAATTTAGAAAATATAACAATTATCTCAGTACTTTTTGTTTTTCAACTCTTTCCTATTTTTTTCAATTTATTTTTTTTCTATCAACTCAATTCAGTTTCTTTTTTTCTTCCAAATCTTTCAAATTTTTTCTAACGTTTTTATAATTTTTTCCATTTCTTTTTAGTTTCTTTAAATTTCTTTCAATTTTTTACAACTCTTCTAGTTATTTTTTAGTTTTTTTCAACATACATCTCTGTTTTTACAATTGAAAAGAATAAAATCTTAATTGATATTTTTTTCTTTTAAGTTAATATACCTTATCGACTTCTAAAACAAATTAATTTATACTCTACATATTTTCTTTTAAGGCTCCATTCCGTTCAACTTATTTTTTTTGATTTGATCTGATTTTTTGTAGTTCTGATATGATATGATCTGGTCTGATTAATTATGATTTGATTTAAAATTTAAATTAATAATTTGATTTGAGTTTATAATAACGTTTGAAAATTGTAACGATAATTCGTATTATAATATAATCAATATTTGTTATTTTCTAATTATTTTTAAATAAAATAAAATAAGTTAATTTATATATTAGAATAATCATTCATATTTTAATGTAATAATATTTTTATTTGATGATTATTGTTTGTGAAATAAGAATATTGATTTAATATTTTAATAATTAGTTCATATATACATTAGAATAACTATTTAATTTATATATAATCAATATAGAGAAGAGATAGTATTTTTATTCGAATATCTCATCCTTATGAAAGATCAAAACTTTATAAACTCAAATTAAAGGTAGTAATAAAAACGTATTTTAAAAGTAGAATTAGATTGACATTGTCAATGTATTTCAAAAATAATTTTTCCGACGTCTAATAATTAAGGATTAATTTCTCAGTTTTCTATTTAACTTGTTTCTAAAGTTTATTCTTTTTCATTTTTAATAATAATAATAATAATAATAATAATAATTCTTTATGGGGTCTGATCAGATTGGATCTGATCTGATGGGATCTGATCTGATTGGATTTGATCTGATCTGATTTGATTCGTTCTGATCTGATCTGTTCTGATCTGATTTTAATAAGAATAAGAAAAAATAAGTTGGACGGAACGAGGTCTGTGTCTAAGAAAGAAATTGTGACTTATAATATTTTCTAAATAAATTACAACTATTTATTTTTCATTTTCAGTTTTTAAGACTAGAACTTTTGATTCTTGATAGAGCGAGTACTTGCAATTTGCAAAGTAAGATGCTGTTTGTTTCAGCCTCTTAATGGTTCAGATGTCTGAATGGTTCAACACTTAATGATTCAGACTGTTTGTTTCAATCTCTTAATGGTTCAGATGTCTGAATGGTTAAGAGATTTGTCTCTAAATGATTAAGTATTATACAGAGTCTGAATGGTTAAGACCTCTTATCTGAATTGATCAGACATTTGCCTCTGAATAGTTAAATAATATACTAGCTCTTAATGGTTCAGACCTCTTACTAATTCAGCACTTAATGATTCAGACCTCTTACTGGTTCAGCACTTACCTATTCACAAGTTTTGCCAAACAGCCTAAATGTGGTCTAACCTGAAGGGCATTTTCGCGCATCTGTAGTCCACTTATCCGCGATGCCCCGATACGATTCACATTTTTTGTTTTGCCAAGAGCAGCCAACACAAATATCAACGACAACCCTTCGCCTCCCATCTCTCTCTTTTTCTCTCTGGTTCCAGATTCCTTTTTTTTTGTATTTTGCTGTATCAATCCTGGATCTCCTTCTATTTAGCGTCTTCCTTGTTTGTATGCCCGTACTCTGCTGTATACGCAACTGGGCTGCATCTGCGCCGCGCCGCAAGGAGTCAATTTGAAAGGTCAAATCGATTTTCCGGCCGTTCAACCGCCAAGGAAGTTTGGGTTCCGCTTCTCATTGGTTTGGTGGAACTAAATCTGATTTGTTTTGGCGGCTGTGCTTTTATCGGACAAGACCTAGGGTTTTGGCTGAATAGCAATTGAGTGTTTTTAGTGTATTTGGAATATTGGTCAGGCATGCCAAGGAGTTCTAAGAGCAAATCTCATAAGCAGAGCAAGCACAGTTCGAAAGAGAAGAGGGAGTATTCTGATTCAGAGGAAGATGTGAAGATGAAGGATAGGAGCATTAAGGAGGAGAGTTCTGCTAGGGCTTCAAAGGATTTGGGCCATTCTGTTTCTGGTGATAAGCGGAAATTTTCTTCTCAAGCCAGAGAAGGGAGAGAAGGAAAAGATCTGAGCAATTATGGGAATGGGGAGGTCACCGAGGAGTATGTTTCATCTAAGCGGCGGAAGGAAAAGGGTGACGGTGGTGTTAGCAGTGATAGATGGAATGGTGGTATGGATGAAAGTGTTGACGATAGGCATGTGGAGAAGGAGGGCAAGGCTGGAAGTTCAAAAAATGACCAGGAAAAGGTATTGAGGCAGAAGGAAGCAAAAGTTTCGGGTGATTCAAGGAGTAGAAGTAGTAAGAGGCATGAGAGTGGAAGCGGAGGCGTGAAAAAGGAGGAGATTTCAGTGTCAGGAATGGAGAGAGAAGATGCTAAGAGCGGAAAGAGTAGTGAGTCAAGGAAGAAAACAGAAGTAGATTCTGTTCGAAAAGAGAGCACCACTTTAAAAGAAAAGGATCATGGGTCAGAAAGGGAGAGGAAGCGCGAAACTGACATAGAAAAGAAGCAAAGGTCTCAGTCAGGGGATGTTGGTGAGGAGAAGCAGGGAAAACACCTTAAAGAACATACTGGTAAGGTATTTTTGTAATGCATTTGTGGCCAATAGCCTTCTACTAACATTTCCTTTTAACTTTGACATTATTATATCAATTATATCAACAAGCATCCTACTTTACTTGGTTATTTGTGTTTAGAAAGTTAAATACTTAAATATACTTGTCCCAATTTAAAATTTCCAAGCCACATAGTTCAGATCAATTTGTTTTGTCACTTGACTAAAACAAAGTATATGTTGGGAGCCTGAAATAGTGATGTGTATCAGAATATTCTATAACGTTTCTCCACATCTTTCCTGAAATTTATTCGGTGAATATAAATGATTTAGAGTTTCTTTGTTAACAAAACTATTTGAAAGACAGGAGCCCACATAACTTGGCACATTTATTGTTTGTCTTGTTCATCTTGCATTTTGACTCATTTGCATAGGGTTACCGTTATTCAACATGGCATACAGATAAAGGATGAGTGAACTATTTTCTCAACTATAGATTATAGAGACTACAAAAATATTGTCCCACCATCTTTTACCCAAATTTTTGATCAACTGTGCATATTTTAGGAGGAACATATCATTTTTTTGCTGATATGTTTGAAAAAATATAATTAGTTGCTTATGAACTGCCATTCATTGTAGGGACCTTTGTACTGCTAAGTGTTATAATTTTCTTCTTGGCATTGCATCCTATTCAGCTGTGGGATTTTTTTCAAATGAGCATATTTTAGTTGGTTATTTTGTACATAATGCAGTCTTTTTATAATTTAGGACGAGACATATTAGCTAGTTTGTTGACTTTGATGAAAGACAAGTTAGTGTTTGTACCTAGGCATTAAGTAAATCTTTAAATTCTAGACTGCCATTTTGCTGTATTTTTTTCTTCATATTAATATGGGTTTCTCAATAAAGTTCTTTAAATTCATTCTATTACATAAATAAATGTTTAGTTGTTACAGATCGTTCAGTACGGAGTGAAGTGCGTCATTCTGATCTAGATAGAGATGCCGAGAAAAAGATGCGAAAGAGACATGATAGTTCTGGTGATCGAGATAGATATGATGGTGATGACCAAAATGATGAGAAGCAGATGTCTTCAAGAGCTGGAGACCGCATTAAAGATGATAGACACAGAGATTCAAAGCATAACGATGGAGGCTATAGAGACAAGTACCGGGAAGATGGTGATAGAGATGAGAGGCATAATAAGGAAGAGAAGTACGAAACTGATAAGGACAGAAGAAGGCGTGAAGATAAGTACCGGGAAGATGGTCATAGTAGTAGAGATAATAGACGTAAAGATGGCAAATACCGTGATGATGGTGATAGAGATACCAGAAATAGGGAAGAAAAATATCACCAGCATGAAGATAGAGATAACAGACACAAGGGGTACCGAGTAGAAGTAGAAAGAGAAAGTCGGCATCGAGATGATAAGTATCGTGAAGATAACGATAGGGGTGGAGATGATAAATACCTTGAAGACAGAGACAAAGAGAAGGATGTTAAGCGTCGTGTTGATAGATATCGTGAAGATGGCGAGGAAGATAGACCGAGGGACAGTAAATATGGAGAAGATGTTGAGAGAGATGATAGGCACAATGAAAAAAAGTATCAAACGGATTTTGAGAAGGCTAGTATGCACCGGGAAGGAAAGTACGGAGAAGATTACGATAAAGACAAAAGGCTGAGGGATATGAAGTACACAGATGAGCTCGCCCTAAGAGATCGCTCAAGAGATAGATCTGATGCAAAGCATTCAAAAGATGAGACTCATGCCACAGACAATCATTCTAGGAAAGTAGATGTACATGAGAACAGCAGCCCCAATTATGATGATCGGGCATCTAGGTATAGAGATGATCAAGGAAGGAGAAGAGCCGACGATAAGGAGGATCGCAATGATTCTAGATTTCAAAGTTCCAAAGAGCAGTATGACTTAGAGAAGCGGGCTGGAACTGTTCCTCGGCTGGAAACTGCTACTGACCGTGGGAAATCTTCCTCGAGGAATAGTGATCTAGAGCGAAGTTCAAACCATAGCAGGAGAAGAAGTTCACCTGGTAGTGGCCCTTTTACTGCAAGAGATCATTATAGGTATGTCTATACATGTTTGTCTAAACAGAATATGGTGCATTTTTGCTATCTTAAGGTGCGTGTGCGTGTGTGTACACATGCACACATATGTACATGTACACACATGTGCGAGTGCATGCACACACACACATTTCATCTGTCCCAAAATAAACTTCACATTTTCTTTTCCGTCCGTCACCAAATGAATTTCACACTTCTCTTTTTTCTATTAATGAGACATCACAAGTTTTCTTTCTCCTCCAAACAAATTTCAATCACACACCTTTCACTTAACACCTCTCTCAATCCTCATGAATAGAAAATAAAAAGTGAAATACATGTTTTCTTGTGGCAATCATAGCTGAATCTCTTTGGCATTCAAATAGTTTATTTTTGTTCAATCCAATTGATTGTAAATGTCAGAAATAATTTTAACTGTGGATTTATTAACTATTCAACATATTAGACAGCAGCTTAACTAATTTTGTTAGTGCCTTTTCTTCCTCACAGGCAATCCAAGCAAGAAGATCCGAAGTACAGGGATCATATTTATGAGGAAAGGGTTCGGAGAAATAGAGATTATTCTGGATCTGCTGGAGTGCTGGATAAAATTACTTCAACTCGGTCTGCAGAAAAAGCTACTCAAAAGGATGACAACTATTTATTAGATGGTTCAGCTGAAAGACGCCTGAAATCTGATCCCCGGAACACTTCGAATCCAGTGCTGGATAAGTCCCCTTCATCAACAAGTAATGATCGCAGGCATCTAGGTAGACCTGAAGTTAAGAGGAGTCTCGAAGTAGAAGATTTTGCGCTGAGAAGTGGCTTGAAGGATGCCAAGGATTTCTCTGGGAGGGAAGGTAGAGGAAATCGTGATCTGCCTGTGGAAGCATTTGCAGGGGACGAACTTGTCCATCCAGATGGAGACACTTTATCTGTTTCTTCACCTTTTGTCAGGGGCGTCCCAGGAGGCAGCACAAGGTTGCCCCCTCTTCTCCCATTTCGTCCTGGAGTTGATAATCCTTCAGTGGTTGGATCTTCTGAAGACGATTGTAGGGGCAAGCCAGGCAGCCGGCATAGAAGGGGTGGTGTTGAGTCAAATGCTGGGAGATTCCAAGGAAATTCTTGGAGAGGGGTCCCAACTTGGCCTTCCCCTGTTGCTAATGGTTTCATCTTCCAACACAGTCCAGCTCATGTCACTTTTCCTCCAGTGATGCAACAGTTTCCTTCCCCACCCATGTTTGGTGTGAGGCCCTCTATGGACTTGAATCACTCTGGACTCCCTTACCATATGCCTGATGCTGATAGATTTTCTAGCCATGGACGCCCTATAGGGTGGCGAACTCCTATGGACACTTCTTGCTCTCCATTTCATACTTGGGATTCTAACAGCTCGGTTGTTGGTGATGAGACTAACATGTATGGGAGGCCAGAGTGGGACCAGTATAGGAACATGCCATTGACTAGGAACTGGGAGCATGCTAGTGACATGTGGAAGGGGGGGGCAAACAGGAGTGCAAGTGTGGAGTTGTCATCTGCCTCTCATAAAGAGGCTAATTCAGGTCAGGGTCCAGTTGATGAATCTTTGACTTGCCAATCTGTCCAGCAATCTCAGTGTGAACAAAAGCATGCTGACCTTGAGGCCGAGAGCAAGACTTTTAGTCAGTCAAGTGATGTGGAGAAGAATAATAATACTGCAGAAGGTTTGAAGATTCTACCTCATGAAACATGTGGTAGTGATTCCAAAATGTCAAGGAAGGATGACACTTGTTTTTGCCTGGCCTACCTTTCCAAACTCGACATATCGTCTGATCTTACTGAACTAGAATTGTATGAAAAATGCACAAGCCTTTTACTCACAGATCAGATCATGGTGGTGGCTGATGCAGATGCTCCTAGAATGTTGTATCTCGAGGTAATATGGCACATAAAAAATTATGCTTCAGTTATGAAGTTAAGATGGCTTATTTATATACTTATTTATTATTTTATTTGTTCACTTATTTATTTATTCATTTTTCAGCCTGTGGTAGAAGGTAAGGCCGCTGTACAAAGTAGATCAGCAAATACATCACTTATAGCTGCTGCAAGTGTTTCTGTTCTTGAGGTACACTCTTCATTTTAGTGTACTTCTAAGTTCTGCATTGATAATTTTATATTTGGAATAACTGTTATTTGCAAGTGTTTTAAGTACTGTGATGATAAGTTTGTTGAAGAGGTGGATTCAAAAGAAGTTGTTGAAGAGGCCCACACAATTTATTTGTCACCACTAGCTACCAGCTAGATACTAATGATATGTTTCCTTGTTATTTTAAATTTTTTATGCTATTGGATTGCAGAAAGCCTTTTCCCAGTACAAGGAGGAGAGAGTTGATGTCAAAGTCTTAAACATACAGAGTAAGACTTCTGTAGTACCCCCGGATGAAGGAAAAGCTTTATCTGAAGATGTTGCTGAAGGGGCGGCGGCGGCGGCTTTAGTTGGTGGACTCGAGGCCAAGAAATTATTGCATCCTAACCCTCATGGGGCTGTGGTCCAAGTTAGTCATCAGAAGGCAGCAGAAACTGAGATTGAACGGATGGTACAAAACCCAGAGCAACCAACAATAGAAAGAGTAATAAGCATGGAGGTGGATGTGGTTTCAAATATAGCAGACGAGCATGGTGTTGAGGGGGACGGTAAGCCTCTGGCAATTGTGGAAGCAGGAGGAGAGCCTTGTGAGGTAATGTTGACTACAACTACTACTACAACAGGCAAGGCTTTAGGCAATCACTCCCTTAAAACTGACTCTCCTCTGCTTTGTCCCAATGTTGTTTCATCTGATGAGGCGTATGGGGTAGGGAAGCCTGTAGAGTCGGAGTCAGTAATCTTAAGTCGGATACATCATTCTCCTGAAAGTACACATTGACACATTTATATTTTCCGTTTTATTTTATTTTTTTCTGGAAATGCCTATTTCATCATCATCCTCTCTGTGCTTTGTGGTGGTTTATCTTTGCTATCAATAAAAACTATTGAGCTCTAGCATTGCTTTTTGATCTGCTATGTATCATTATTATTTTTTTGGTCAAAGAAACAATTATATTTTGCTAAGTTCTGAAGGAAAGAGAGGTTAGGCCCAAGTCTGAAACACATGGCCGCCAGAATCCTTTGTCACATCTGATTATCGCCAAATATGTCTTCCGATCTAATTCTCTATCCCAAAGTGGAACAAATCAGGTATTCCTTATGAATTGAAAGCTGTTTACATCCTGCGACTCATTTGTATCCCGTTGCTTGCTTAGTTTTTGATAGTTCAATCTTGTGTCCCGTCAGATTCTTCTTTTCCTGCTGCCATTTCATTATGTTTTCAAAAAAAAAACTTTTACCACTTTTCTTTATGTTTTTTTACCACCATTTTTTCGCAGCCCCCTCTTTGTAGGATTTTATTGGTAGGTACATCCCTCTAGTGCAGTTGAACTTATGCTTTCACTGATCAATTCTATTTTTAATTAGGGTATTGTTATTGAATGTCAGATTACTTCCACTTAGGCTCTGTTTTCTTTTTTTTTTGACAAAAAACTTAGGAGTTACAAGAAATCGGGGGGAGTTGAAAAAACCGGAAGAAGTTGAAACAAATTAGTAAAAATTAAAAAAAAGTTGGAAAAATGAGAAGTGTTAATAGTCTATATTTGGTTTGAAACAAATTTTTAGAAGAGTAAAAGTTTGTGGTTGAAATTGATGCAAAGGAGAGAAAGATTTGTGCTTTTGTAATTCTTACAAGTGAATTGTGTACAGACATTCTAATACTTTTTCATGGGTCGGCATGGGGATTTCTTTTAATTGTAAAAAGCTTAGTTATTTAATAGTGTTTATATATTAAGATTTATAAAATGATTGTGGATTTGAGGACTATATAAGAATTTGCTGGAGAGAAAAATAAGCGTTAAAACCTATCCGATAGTAGAAAGGGGGTAATTTTGTAGGGCGTGAAAATGAAGACTATTAACTTGGGAGAGAGTATATTCTTGAGATTGCATATTTTTATGAAAATAATTTATTTATTTTGGCACAAGTGTAAATAATTTAGTATTTTTTCGTGTCAAACTCAAATCATAAACTTTTTGGAGGTGATGAAGGGAATATTATAAATATAAAAAAAATGTGAATGAATCAATTGATGTTCATTTACATTATAAATTACTTACTCCCTTCCTCTAGATTCTTTCATGGTTTTAGTTATGATGTTTGATTAAATTTATTTTTAATTCAATTTGTACAAAAGTTGGCATAGAAATAAAAAAATAAAAAAATAAAAAATATATTTGGGGATAATGGTAATTTATTTTATCAAATAATCAAAAGAAAATAGACAAAGAAATTAAAAAATTTTGACACTGTGAATAGTAAATTAGAGAAACTAGAAGGACGCATAGAGTAGTTTATTTTTAATATTAGAGTCAAAGTTACGTACTTGATCGAAAAAGGATAAATAAAAAATTTCCTAAAGATTTCTCTATGATGTACTCTATATAAAAGTATGAAATCGAGCCAAATTCAAAGTTTTTAGAAAACCTTTTGTGTTTTGTAGATTTTCTTTTTTCTCTGTATTATTTTCAAACACACAAATTTATTTTTGTTAAACTCCGTGATAAATTCAAATAGATTTTTTTGGGGACGGTACAAATAGGTATGGTAAACCTAATTCGTAGCTTCAATTCAAGTTTTTAATACTTGGTATAAAAATGACATTTTTTGTGAAACTTTTGTGAAAATGTACCAATTTTTGTACTCCATATTATTTGGAAATAACCTACAATTTCAATAATTCGGAGCAAGCCAAAAAAAATTTAGATTATTCTTATTCCTTCTAAAACTCTGAGTCTGTTTGGGAATAGCGTTAGAGATTAACGTTAGCGTTTTGGATAAAATTTTAACGTTGCAGATTACTTTGAAACTAACGCTAAACGTTGTGCGTAGATAGGCTTTTCAAAATGCTAAGCTAATCTCTAATGCTATTTCCAATTAGGCTCTAGAACAACTCATCATAGGTAAGTATGGTCTATTTTGAAAAAAAACTAGAGCAATGAAGTTATTCTAAAATATTACTCCCTCCGTCCCAAATTATAATACATGTTCACTATTCACAGCGTCAAACTTCATTCACTTTCTTTCTCAATTTTCATTAGCAAATTGATAAAATAAAGTACTATTGTTACTACTAGTTTTGTAGATCTTTTGTTGTAGTATTTTAATATGTAATTTTTATTTTTTTTAACTATATACCATTTGTAATATAAAATGATTTGAAAATAACTTCAGTCAAACATCGTAAACCGAAACAGACGTTATAAAATGGGACGGAGGGAGTACGTAATCTACATGTGGGGTTATTTTAAGCAGACCAACAATAATTCGAGTTATTTTCATCAACTTTTTATTTGTTTCTATGGCACATTTTCTTGCAAACAATATTGTAGAAATTTGTAAAACGTTGAATGTTTTCCATTGAGTATTCACGTCGTATAAATACAAGTAGGTTAACTAGGCTACGTTGGGCCAAGCCTGATTACATACAAGGAAAGATACATACATGGAAAGAATATACAAAAATGTAAAGTAGAACTATATATGCTAACACTCCCCCTCAAGTTGGAGCATGAAGATCACAAATGCCCAACTTGGAGAGCAAGAAAGAAAACAGAGGTCTCTTCAGAGCTTTGGTGAACAGATCTGCTAACTGCAACCGTGTAGGTACATAAGCTGTGGTGATCTCTCGACGATGAACACACTCACGCACGATATGGCAATCAATGTTAATATGCTTCATGCGCTCATGGAAAACAGGATTAGCAGTAATAAACAAAGCAGATTTATTATCATAAAATAAGCGGGGCGTTGTTGGTGGAGTAACACCAAGCGCACCAAGAAGACCCCGAATCCACCGGACCTCTGCACAAGCGTTAGCCATAGCACGATATTCAGCTTCGGCAGAGGAACGCGACACGGTAGTTTGTTTCTTCGTTTTCTAGGAAATAGGAGAACCACCCAAGTGAATAAAATAACCACTAACAAACCTGTGAGTAAGGGGGCAAGATGCCCAGTAGGAGTCACAATAAGCAGACAGTTGAAGAGAACTATCACTACACAGAAGAATTCCCTGTCCTAGGTGGCCCTTCAAATAGCGAAGCACACGCTTGGCCGCATCCATATGATCAAGACGTGGGGCATGCATAAACTGAGAGAGAACATGAACCGAATAAGATAGATCTGGCCGAGTAATAGTGAGATAGATCAATCGACCCACAAGGCGTCGGTATTGACCCGGATCCCGTAGCTCGGCGCTAGTAGAACGAGCCAGACCATGGTTCGGCGTGATGGGGGTGTCCGCCGGCTTACACCCCAATAAACCCGCCTCATGAAGAATATCCAACGCATATTTGCGTTGGCACAGAACAATCCCCGTGGCTGACAGAGCACACTCAATGCCCAAAAAATAGGATAATGGCCCCAAGTCCTTGAGCCGAAAGCACCTATTCAAATAGGATTTGAAAGAGGCACACAAGGTGGAGTTATTACCTGCAACCAAAATATCATCAACGTAAACCAGGACAACCAGAATATCAGAACCGCAGTGGTGAATAAACAGAGTATGATCAGCATAGGCCCGACGAAACCCGTATCGTCGTAGGGCACAGGTAAGTTTACCAAACCAATTGCGGGGTGATTGGCGTAAGCCGTAGAGATGAAAGGTGAGCATAACCGGGTGGCAAGCGCATATACACTTCCTCAATCAAATCACCATGGAGGAAAGCGTTGTTGACGTCAAGCTGGTGCACTTGCCAACCCTTGGCCGCGGTAATAGAGAGCAAAACCCGAACAGAACCCATTTTTGCTACCGGGGCAAAGGTATCTGTGTAATCAACCCCCAACGTCTGATGATTGCCAAGCACAACTAGGCGCGCTTTGTCCCGTTCCTTAGAACCGTCAGAATTGAATTTGGTTTTAAAAACCCATTGACATCCCAAATCCGTCCGGTCAGATGGTAACTCAGTAATATCCCAAGTGTGGTTATTCTCGAGAGCCTGAAGTTCCGCTTGCATAGCTGCGCGCCAGGTGGCATGGGGAGCAGCTTCAGAATAATTTTTAGGAACAAAGTGCGGACTAATAGCCCCAAGAAAGCCACAGTACCTGTCATGCAATTTATCATAACAAACAAAGTTGGCAATAGGATAGTGCGTACCTGAAGATAAAGACTGTGGAGGAGATGAACACAACGGGAAATGAGATTGAACAGAATTGACGATATAATCACTAAGGTGGGAAGGCGGACGACGCTGCCGTTGGGGACGATGGAGAGGAACGACGGCTGTTTGAGAAGGAGAGGAGTTGGCGGATGGCTGGTCGCCCTCTGGCTCCGGTTCGGCGGTTTGTGCGACCGGAGTAGTTGCCGCCGGTTGGATGGACGGTGATACCAGAGGGGGATCGGGCAGGGGCATTTCAGGAAAATCGGCCATTTGAGTGGGGGTGGTAGGTTCGGCCGGCATGTGATGAGTGGCAAACGGGAAATGGCTCTCGTCAAAAGCTATGTCCCGAGTGTGAAAAAAACGGTGAGAGTCAAGATCATACACACGCCAACCTTTAGTGCCGGAGGGGTACCCAACAAACATGCACTTGGTGCTGTGAGGAGAAAATTTATTAGAGGTTTTTAGACGAACAAAACACAAACACCCAAAAATTTTGAGATGACTAAGATCAGGTGCTTTGTGATTGAGAATCTCAAAAGGAGATTTTCCACCGAGTTTGTTGGGAGTCCGGTTAATGAGATACACAGCTGTACGAACACGTTCCCCCCAAAATTCAATAGGTAAATGAGCTTGAAACATGAGTGAGCGGGCGGCGTTTAAAATGTGTCTATGCTTACGTTCCACCCGACCATTTTGTTGGGGAGTACCAACGTAAGATGTTTGAACAAGAACGCCCAAGGACGCATAATATGTGCGAAGCTCCGGATTGACAAGTTCAGTTCCATTATCTGAACGTACAATTTTGATGATTTTATGGAATTGAGTCTGAATCATGGCAAAAAAATGTTTCAAGCAACTAGGCACTTCAGATTTATCAATAATTAGATAAGCCCAAACGGCTCGAGAATGATCATCCACAATAGTGAGAAAATAATGAGCACCAGTAGCTAAACAAGGGGTGTAGGGTCCCCAAAAATCACAGTGAATTAAATCAAAAACACTAGTACCTTTATTTGAACTGATTGGAAAGGAACTACGAACTTGTTTAGACTGAAAACAAATTTCACAAGACTGCAACAGTTTAATTTTATTACTACTAGGAGAAGGAATAAAAGACGACAAAACTTGAGTAGACGGGTGACCCAAGCGTTTGTGAAAAAGAATGGGGTCCACTTGGGTTGCAACCACGACAGAAGAAGGATGAAACAGGAAGATTCCGTTGCATGCATCACCCCGTCCAATCTCCATCTTCGTTGCACAATCCTGTATCACACAACAATTATCGTTAAAAATTACAAAACAAGATGCATCCCGAATAAGACACCCAACAGAAATAAGATTGCACTATAAATGAGGAACGAGCAAAATGTCCCGAATGACCACCTCGGCCGAGAGTCGCACCTGGCCACATCGAGTGGCAGTAGTGCGCGTACCATTGGGTAGCGTGATGACACAAGGGCTCATAGAAACCACACTAGACAAATATGAGATATTACCGGTCATGTGATGAGAAGCGCCACTATCAATAAGCCACTCACGAGAAGAAGAATCCCCGCTAGGGCCAGAAACCTTTTTAGATGGAGAAGTATCAAGCATGGAAAGCAGGCGCGTCATTTGATCAGGTGTGAGGCCGAGGGTGTTGGAATGCGTCACCGAGTGTGCTCCCCCCGTCGCCGTGCCAGACCCACGGCCAGCCGCCGGTAGTGCCACGGCCGCCACTCCGTCCTCCTCGGCTGGGTGTGCTGCCACGACCCCGGCCCTTCCCCAGGGGGTACCCATGTATTTGATAACATCTATCCACCGAATGCCCGTCCTTCCCGTAATGAGTACACGAATAATGAGGCGGATCACCACGACCTGCGGGAAGTGTGGGGCGCTGCATGGCAAAGGCCACGCGTCCGTGCGGTCATCCCGACCACGGACGATACTCCTGTGCCGTTCTTCTTGGACAATCAATGCATACACCCGTTGTATATCCGGAACAGGTTCGGTAGCTATGATCTGAGAACGGATGTGACCAAACAGTTCATCATCTAGACCAAGTAAAAATGATGAGTTTTCTCCTGCTCTTCCCGAGCACGGATCTAGGCCGCGGCTTCACAGCGACAGCCGCAGGTGGGATCAACAGAACCATATAATTTGTTCCACAAAGTCACAAACTGGTTATAATAACCAACCACAGTTTGACCTTTTTGACGCAGAGTTTGGAACTCGGATTTTAATTGATACACACGAGGACCATTGGATCCCCCATACCGAGCCTTCAAATCCAACCATTGGATTTTAATTGACGCAGAGTTCTTAATTTGTTTTATATGGAAAAGATTTGTTGTATATTTCTAATTAATCATAATTACAGAAAAAATTACAAGTCTTTCTAATTTGCTTCATGCAAAAAATCTCCACCCTTTTCTTGTTCATTCGTCCAGAAAATATATTTGAATAATATCATTTTTAACGTTTTTAAATTTTTGAAGTCAATTACAATAGCGAGGTTTTTATGTGACCGAGATAGTATATTTAGGTATACTTGAAATACTCCGTATTTTTTTGGTACAATGTACATTCGACATCTAGACCTATACTATATCTAAAGAGAGGGGAATTTTTCCCACACATACGTAAAAGCAATATATGGAAAAATCTTGCGCCTTTTACTCGTTATATGTGTGTGTAAGCATTAAATTTAGTAAGCATTAATTAATGCTTCGTAACTAATGGCAAAGGGAATATGTTAAGGGTGATTTTCTATGAACATTACAATGAGAAATTTCTTAAAAGCATTAATTAATCATTAATGACAATGGAGAATTTCGTTTGAGCACTAAAAATGTTTTGGTTTTTATTTAAGAGTAAGTCTAAAATGACACCATGCTACTGGTGTCATTTGCTTAGACTAGTTTGTTTGGGGTACCTACGGTTAAGGTTGTAAACGAACCGAATAGAATATTCATGAAAAATATTCATATTCGTTAAGATGGAGTGATATTCGGATTCGAATATTTTTTAAGATTTGTATTCGGTTCGTTTAAAAATATTCAGTTCATTTAGATTTTAAAATATTTTATAACCATTTGATATATATATATATATATATATAGATATATATATATATATATATATATATATATATATATATATATATATATATATATATATATATATATATATATATATATATATATATATATATATATAGATACATAAGATCATGGACAATTTCCTCTCTCTTCAACTTCGGCGACAATGGCGTTGAACGCCAGCATCTCCGACAAACAATCTGATGGCCACCACTTTGGAGAACTTATCAAGAACGCAGGCATCTCACCTTGGAGAAGATATCAAGAAAAGCTTCCTCGAAGTTTTGGGATCTGCGAATCAACTGGAAAGGTTTCCATCCAAGCAGATCGAAAAATTCAAAGGATTTCCAGCGATTTCCTTCACCCCGAATGAGGTAAAATCACTCTCTGCCCCTTATGAATACGCCTTGGTTGGTCGTTTCAACAAATCTAGACCCCCTCTCCATATCATCAGCTCCTGCTTGGAAAGAATTGGTTTCAAAGTGAATCTTAAAATTGGTTTGCTTTCTCAATCAATTTTGTTTTGAATTTCAAATGCCCAGTTGATTATCAACGTTGTTTCTCTAAACGGGTTTGGAAAATCAATGGGTCATCGATGATTGTGTCCAAATGGAGCCCTGATTTTCATGTGGACATTGAAAGTCCCATCTTTCCGATATGGACTTCTCTACCTCATCTTCCTGTCCATCTTCAAGAGGCTAGGGCTCTTTACAGTATTGCAAAATGCCTGGGTAACCCGATTATGATGGACTCCTCTACTTCTGCAAAAATCAGACCGTCTGTGGCTCGTTTTTGTGTTGAATTGGATATTACACAAGAACTACCGAAGAAGATATGGATTGATAATGGAGGCCATGGTTTCTTCCAACCAGTGAGCTACGAGGACATCCCAAAGTATTGTAGGGATTGCCAAAAATCAGGGCACATTGCAGGAAAATGCAACACTGCAGATGATGTTTTTCCTAAGAAAGATGCTGCAACCTCAACCAAAGCCAATAACAAGGATCCGAAACCAAGCGGGGACATAGGATGTCCCATTGTGAAGGACACAAAAACTACTGTCCAAAATTCTAAAGCTGATGAAGATGTACTGGTGACACCCCTTGAACAACAGGAAATAGCCAAAGAGGATATGGCAGGGTGTGGGTCAGCGGCAGGAGGCACCACACCAACAACTAGAGGCCATGACACATCTGTACAAAGCTCCAAGAACCGATTTGCCACCATTGAAAAGACTCCAAGTCATGAGGGATCAAGTTCAATACAGCCTACTGCCCAGTTAGAGGTGGAAGAGACTAAAGTTGGGACTCAACATGAAGTCGTTGAGATCAAAGATGCAGTTACTATGGTAGCTGATGCAATTGAAATCCAGAATGGGTGTTCTACTCCGAATAAGGCAGCTAAAATATCACCTGACCCTGTGACTGCGATTGAGGCGAAAACAGCAACCAGACATACCTACAAGGAAACTATCATCGAGGTTGATGGTCAATTATTTATCATCGAGGTCAAGGAACAGGATGACTTTGAATCAATGGCAAAACCTTTGGAGGTCACTAAAGATGCAACTTCAACAGGTTCTAAAGATGAAGAACCCCAAGAGTTTGCTGCAAATGACACATTTGACGCAAGCCAGGATAATGAGGAGACAGGGAACCAAACAGAACCAGAATTTGATTGTGAAGAATATCAGTATGAAGAGGACTTCACCGTGGTCAAAAGCAAAAAACAAAACTCTCCTCCAGAACTAACGATTCAAACAAGAAGTGGACAACTCCATTGTAGGGGTCAATACTCCCAACGAGGCCGAGGACGAGGCAGGCGAGGCCGACGTCGCAACTAAGGCTATTTCACTTTGCTTTCTTGTTAGGGGCTACGTCTCCTCCGCATTTGGGCTGCGTCCCATACGTTGCTTTTTCCTTTTTCCTTCTCTTCTACCACTTTTGGGTAGTTCTTTCCCCTTGTACTTAGACTCTTTTGCATGAATAAAAATAAATTTAATATATATATATATATATATATATATATATATATATATATATATATATATATATATATATATATATAGACATACATAGGGGCTGGTTCCTGTGAGAAAGATGCTTGGTGAAAGAAATAAGAATAGATATGGACCGTTTGATTTGATGCATCTGATGGACACGATCCATCAATTGAAATAAATGAATTAACTAATTTAATAAGTAAAGTAATAATGGCAATGCTACAAATTAGGAAAAATTAGTTATGAGGGGCATTAAAGTCATATCCCTGTAAAGTAAGAAACAAATATGACATTAACAGGCTTTAAGAATAAAGACCAACCATTGTTTGTGGGATTTGACATGGAAAATATAGCTGGTTTAGTGGAATTTGAATCTCACATGGCGTTAAGCACCTATTTGTAATAGTATGGATTTGATTGGAGTGCAGCACTTCATACTAAGCAAACTTTTGTTGGGATATATTCGACAAAAATAGGAAAACCAATACCGGTACTTGGCAGTATCTGATTTTATGTGCTTGATTTTGTTCAGACATAATTTACTTGCCCCAATCTGGTTGAAACTATTTGTCTTAATGATCGGTGGAGGCGTTGAAATTTCCATTTTGTTGAAAGTACCTCCAAGCTCCATACATTAAAGAAGACTCAGCATGAACCCTGTCATCAAATAGGACATGAAAAAGGTTAATAAATTGAAAAAGCTCTTACCAAGGTCAATATTGTGAAATTGATTCTCCAGCCAAGTTTATATGTAATATTTTTTGTTATTGTGTTGTGTTTAAACTTTAATGGGGTGGAACTGATGTACGAAAAAATAAATTTTCTATTACCTTTCTTGACCTTTTGGTTAAGATCATGGAAAAGTTCTAAGGGATCCTAGTGAGAGTGTTCCAACAATTAAATGTTTTAGTCTACAAAAACATTATATGTATGTATGTATGTATGTATGTATGTATGTATGTATGTATGTATGTATGTATGTATGTATGTATGTATGTATGTATGTATGTATATGTTGGGAAACGAGGCTTGGATAACGCAGCGGAAAACAAAAATTTATAGTCCAAAACTCGATTTCACCCAAGAACAACTTACGTAAATTACTAGCTATAGTAAGAAATTTACCTTAACGGTGAAAACGAAGAACGGAAAAACGGTCGGGGATGGTTTTGAGGAGATGAACGTAGCGCCAAACGTATGAAGCCTCCAACGTATCCACACGAACTTGCTCCGGAGTCCTAGGTTAAACTTGTGCTAGCAAGTTTAATTTAGGATAGTAAAAACTATAATAATACTACTTTGGGAGTAATAAATATATAGTAAAATATTTATCCTATAAATATTTGCTTTATAATATTTTGTGTATATTTCTAACACTTTAGAAAAATAACTTTGAACACAAAATAGGATTTTTCTTCTCTCTAAAATGGGATGGCCGAAACTATTAAGTGTTCAAGGGGAGGGATTGTTTTTTTTATTTTATAATAAACAACTTAAATGAATTTCTAGGAAATAGCTTAGGGACAAAATAAATTAGGATTAATGTAATGTCCCCAACCAACACAACAAGACAAATATCCTTTTGTTAATCAAATATTTTATTATATCAATCAAATATATCATTAGGTAGAAAATCAATTTATGTCTTGTATTTTTCCCTTTAATATTTTCGGCCATAGCATATTAAAATACATTACATTTTATTTTGCATCAATAATTATCATATAATTAAAATGATGAAAAATAAAATAATATATATATATATATATATATATATATATATATATATACACATTCGGCGCTACATATATATATATATATATATATATATATAATAAAATTTGTTTTGTCAAAATATAATTATCATATAATTAAAATGACACAAACAAAATATAATTTTAAAATACATATGTATTTTCGAAATACATATATATATAAAATTATAATAACTATATATTTAATATTACTCCCACTAGTGTAGTATACTACTCCCTTACAAGTCCTAAGTGTGTGACCCTTTAGGTATCCATAACACTGGCAATGATATTAATATAAATTAATACCATAGATAATAAGCGGTATCTAGCAACACATTATTATCCCCAGATTATGAAAAAGACGTTCATCTCATCAATACCTTCTACGACACAAGACNAACTATATATTTAATATTACTCCCACTAGTGTAGTATACTACTCCCTTACAAGTCCTAAGTGTGTGACCCTTTAGGTATCCATAACACTGGCAATGATATTAATATAAATTAATACCATAGATAATAAGCGGTATCTAGCAACACATTATTATCCCCAGATTATGAAAAAGACGTTCATCTCATCAATACCTTCTACGACACAAGACATTCTATAACTATTATCCTTCTGTTCTAAATGTCATGATTTAACACAAGGCATGGGATGTGTATCCTTGTATAGGTAAATCAGCTGTTACTGAATCTCAAGTAGACTGGCAGGGATCAGATATTTATCAGTCTCTAGATAGTGACATATCTGGGCATGGCCATGCACTTTCCCAAGTCCTACTATTTTCAGTGGGCCCATTGACATTATACTTCTATACAGTAGAAGGGACAGATCCTGTATTTTTTATTCACATCTCTAAATATGCTTAGCGGCATACCCAACGCATAACTGTACGTCTACCAGTATTTCAGATAGCATTAGTTATGAATCAAAGCATACGACCCCACATATCAGAGAATGTAATAACTTTAAGTCTGAGGATAGTTATAGCAAGGTCGATTTGAGAATACTGATAAACACATTACTGTAGATCCATGCAGTATTCTCAAGATGGGTCAATCCAGTCACATATTATCGATATAATATGCACCTACGTACAGATTAAGATATCACAATACCTATAGTCTATGAGACGTAACTATCTCATCTCGTACGTACTAGTCTTGATACGTTATGACGTCCGTATTATCATAAAGTGCGACTAGGGATATTCTAGACATAGCCTTCGTCAAGAAGTAACAGTCTCATAATCAGAACATTGTAGTCCTCATCTATGTTACTGAAGCGCTATCGTCTATGGACTGAAGCTATGTTATGTTACACGAGATATAAAACATACTTCAAGGCCTTTCATTCATGATAAAGTGTACAGTTACATAGGTATTTGATTGCCGCTAGGGCACCTAAATACAACAATATATATATATATATATATATATATATATATATATATATATATATATATAAAATAATGTTTTTGTTCTTGTGGGTTTGATATGTTTTGTTCAAAGTTTCACATGGCGGAAGTGTGCGATGAAGGTAGTGGCTATGTAATAGCATTGAGAAGGTCGAGCATAAATTTTTGTCTTACATTGTATTTCAACTGTTTGGAGCTTCAAATTACATAGATCTAAGAGATAAAATTAGTTCATAGTTTAAAATAAAATAATATAATATATATAGTACATTTTTTTGGATATTTTAATTTTACCTAAATGCAAGTGTTAATATGAAGTTAATTTTTTAAAACCAAAGTCATAACCCATTGGGTCGACCCAAACCAAATGATAATGGTCATGAACATACAGTTCTCAATTTGAACTTAAATTGACCCGAACATGAAGTTTTCCGAGCCCGAAGTAACCTGAAATTTTTAAATCCAAAGTCATACCTTGTTGGGTCAACCTGAACCCAATAATAAGCAGTGAACATTTTCAGATTACAATTGATAATTTTATCTGTGCATGAAGTTCAGTATCACCTTTGGTTATAGAAGTTTCACGAGATTAAAATGATATATGCGGAGGGGCAGTAGGAGTAGTACCAAAAATAGGATCGTATTGTGCTTTAGGGACATTAAAAGGACACAGAGAAACCTTAGAAGCAAAGTGTTGGAATGAAGGGTCGCATTTAAGAGGAACCTGGTGTGATTGAACTTTCGGGAAAGAGTAGGCCATGGTGTTATTATTCCTTACGTCACGTCTTATTCAATACAAAACATTCCGACCATTGTTGCACAGTTATAGTGACATAGTTTTTTGCAAGTAGTACAAAAGCAAATCGCCCTATATGTAAAGTAACCACATGCATGTAAAGTTCTTTAGGAACATATATGTGAAAACTAAGATGATGATATAATCTGGTTGAGCTTAGTAGTAAAATGAAGTTATTTTGAAATTAAACTAGGAAAAGAATGAGATGAATAGCATAATTACATATTTTTCAGTTTTTTGACCAGAATTTATGAATAGAATACCTACCACTGACTCTTAGTACTTAGTCAATACTGCACATTTTATACTACAACTAAATCTCCAAGATTATGATACTTAGAATTAGTTTCCAGGTAAGCTGCAAGTGAAATCTCCAAAAGCATTAATGAAGTCTTTGATTGAGGGCAAAGCTTTTTCACAATACTGAAAGGGCCACTTAAAAAAGATTATGGATATCTTATGAATAGGGATGGCAACGGGTCGGGTTTGGGTCGGATAGTACTATACCCGACCCTGACCCGACTTTTAAAACCGAAACCCGAACCCGACCCGAAACCCGACTTTTTAAACCAAAAACCCGACCCGACCCGAACCCAACATTCCAACCCAAAACCCGAACCCGACCTGAACCCGACTTTTAACCAATAATCAATTCAATGTACCCCAATAATTTTAAAAAGATTAAATCTAATTTTTTTGTGTGTCTCATTTTTTATTAATGAATTATAAATATATTATAAATGGCATACTTGATATAGTAGCACTTTGTCAAGAGATTATATGGAGTGCTCATTATATATATAGATAGGCTTTTATGTTATAAAATATTCGGGTTTGAGTCAGGTCGGGTGCGGGTTCGGGTTGGGTCGGGTAAAATAATAAACCCACACCCGACCCAACCCGATGTCGGGTTCGGGTTAAAAATTTCGGGTCGGGTTCGAATTATTTTATTCTCGGTTCGGGTTCGGATATTTTAGTGGTCGGTCGGGTCGGTTAAGCTCGGGTTCGGGTTGAATTGCCATCCCTACTTATGAATATTATAGGGGAGTCTGATAATGTTTATGTAAAAAATATAGTTAAACTTGCAACAAATATAAGCCTTAAATTACCTTTAATCTTGAACTTCCATGTAGTCAATATCTCGGGTCAAATAACGTCACAATACACCAAGCATTAGTAAGTAATGACATTCTATATAAACACAAGCACAAAACCATATGGCCAAACCTGGAATCCTGCAACTCTGGCATGAAGGATTTAACTGTCCGGCGATTAACATTCTTGTTTGTTACATCTCCTTCACTGAAAACTTGTCGAAGAACATGTTTCGAAATTACCTGTGAGGTTGTTGCTCTGGCACAGCCTTGGGGCAACCTTCTGGAAATGAATGAAATGAAAACAATGTTCTAGTAGGTCTGGAGACCCCGCAATAAGTAGTCTTGCAATTGAGTTGGCGTAAATTTGGTGCATCAAGTTATTTTGAGCAACGAAGGTTTTAGTTGTCAATAACACCAAAAAGTTGATATAATAGATACTACCTGCGCTGAACACTGAACATATCTTGGAACAAATGTGCTAAAATCCATTTGATGGTAGGATGGAATTGGGTACCCTATTGTATCAAACAAAAGAAAACAACTCATTCAAAATAAAGAAAAACAAAATAATTTTATGCAATTACATCACAGTATAAAGCTTATGCCATCGACTAACATGATTGGGATGATGATGAAGAATTTGTGTGTGACATGTGTAATATTTGATATAAACCAAAACATAAGATTAAAGCTCCACATTGAAAGAAGTTACTCTTACTTAAAATAAACTTGTTTGGTCCATACCATTCAAATTTACAGTGATGACCAAAGAGGTAATGTAACAAGTACCACATAAACTGTGGTGCTCCGTATAAAAAATATATTATCTGAACTCAGCACCTCAGGTATGGCTAGACAATTCATCGACATTCCATTCATTGAATAGGTGCATATTCATATTTAATTTAAAATGAGTTTCACATTTTGTTGCCCAATAAAGTGATAAGTCCATTTCGTACTTATCTTTTTACTCATATTTAATTCGTTCTTGTACCATTTTTGTTATCAGAACAATAAATTCTTTATTCTCTTCGGTCAAGAATATATGTTTTGAAGAATTGATTATAAAAAAGAAGATCTTTGAATTAATATGTAAAATTGGGCCAAGAATGGAGTAAAAAAGAGTAAATTTTAATAGAAAAACAATTCTATCTCACAAACGGTGCGGAATTAGAAGTCGGTGCAGAAGGAAGAAGTGTTCAGAACAAAATTTTGAGCAGGGTAGCATTGACAGTTTGTGGCGGCCCGACAGGCGACCTGGCCGGCGGCAGCCTGCCTGGCCGCCGGTCAGAAGGCGGCGGCGGCGAGAAAAGGCTCCAACAGCAAGGGGAAGCGCTGGCGGGCTGGCAGGCTGCAGCCTACCTGCCCGCCTCTCGACGGAGACCAGGGATTCCGGCGATTCTGGAGAATTCTTCAGCGGCGCCGGCGGGCTGGCCGCCGGCCGCCGGTCTGCTCGCCGGTCGGTGATCCTCTTCTATAAATGTCCAGCGCAGATCTTCCCTTTTCCCAGGCTTCTCTAATTGCGATTTTCCCCTTTTTAGGGGTGAAAATTCTCCCTTTTGATTTTTAATATTGTATTAAAATTGTGTGGGTTTAATTTCATCATCTTACGTTAATTCTCAAGTTGTTGAATCACTGTAAGTTTTTCTTTTCTTTTTTATTGTAATTTTTATTAATAAAATTTTACTTTGTTGATGATTGATATGTGTTTGAAGATTTTATATGTTATTATGATGATGTTGAATGTTNCCAATTTAATCTTATTTATTAGTAATTGGATTAATTGTTAGAAAATGACTTAACATTTATTAATTAATAAATTTTTTTTATTAGTAATTAATCCTTGGAAATTAATCTTTTACTTTGTCTATGAAGTAAAAAGGTTAATTAAGCCACACGTTCCGAACACCTAGAAATAGGAAGGGTTAGAAATAACCGTTTGGAATGGGTTTAACTAATTAATAATACTAAACATTTTAGTAATTAAGTAATTGGAAAATAGTTCTTACCTTGTCTATGGGGATTTAGAATTATTTAAGCCAAACATTTTCTAGTAGAGTACTAGACCTAGAAATAGGAGATGTACTGGAAATATAATAATCTTATAATTAATATGTAGACCTAGAAATAGGAGATGTATTAAATATAAGATTAGCATTTATGTTTTATATTGAGACCTAGAAATAGGAGATATGTTAAACATAATTGCTACACATTTCCTTAATCCAATTGTTAATTAAAGATGAGTTAAATTGCGTTAAGTCCGCGTTCCGATCTTAACTCCTAAAGTTATTTTATCATTTATTTTAGACGCTTTATTTCTTATTTATTCACGTTACTTAGACTATAAATTTACCTGTGATAAATAATAAAGCTAACTATTCCCTTCGTCACTCCTGGAGAGAACGACCCGAGTCTAACTCGGTTATTTGTTGACTTACCGCTATACGCAGTTCGTCAAATGGCGCTGTTGCCGGGGAGTGGCACAGTTTAGTCAGTTTTTATATTTTCATAGGCAAATTTTTAGCCTACTCCTTTTATTTATTGATTATTTGTTTTTTCCTTATTTACATTTTTATGAATCGTTTTAATAATTTTTATAATTCCCATTTTAATGATCCATACCCATATTGTGAAAATAATGTTTCTAATGATTATAACGAAAATTACCATTATGAAAATTGTTTTTATGAAAATCCACCTATGATTGAAAATGATTATAAATTTAATGGTAATAGGTGGAATAATTATGATAATGGTAATTTTGGTTGTTCACAAAATTTTCAAGATAATTTTGGTAATGATCAAGATTTTGAAAACAATTGGTATTACAATTCTCTTATGAATAATAATTATTTTGATGATTATGATCATGGGAGAAATTTTAATAATTTTGATCATTTACCAAATTATAAAAATAATTGTTGTGATTTTAATGATATTCAAAATTATTGTATGAATCCCCCTAGATTTTTCAATGAAAATAATCCTGAAGAGGAGGATAATTACAATAACTTTGATTATCAAGAAAATTATTCCTCTCCTTATTCCTCACTTTTCCCTATTAATAATTTTGATGTGATTAGCAATGAATTAAAATCAATAAAAAATGACATGGATCGCATTATAAGAAATTTAATTGGGCAAATACAATTAAAGAGATATACTAACCTTGATTTTGATGAATTCCTTAAAAAGAAGGGTTTAGTAAATGAAAAAGGTGATCTTTGTTATACTTTTCCTTATTCTTCTCTAAACCCTGATTCTAATCTAGAGATTTTCAATAATGAAAAAGAAAATATTCTTAAGGAAATTGGAAATCTCTATGAATTATTAGAATTCAAACCTAATGAATCTAATAAAATTCATCAAAATGAATGGTTAGCTGATGAATCCGAGGATGAGGAAATTGAGGTGGATAAAATTGTTGAATGAAATATAGCGCAAGAAGGAACACCTTCTTTAGGCCAACCACCTCAAGATGAGGAATTTTATGAAAATGAATATTATCTCGAACAAGAAAATCTTTGGGCTAACTTTGAAGATGAATATCAAGAAACATTGAAGAACTTGCTTAATAAAGGTATTATTGTTCGAGTAAATTCAATTAAAAATAATAAAAATCACAATAATGGGTTGGAGGGAGTAGTGCCCGAGGAAAGCTCTATTGTTTCTCCGTTGAGATTAGAGGAGAAGATAGACGAACAAGGACTTGTTTGTTCCTTTCCTGAAAAGAAAAATGGAGAACACATGAGCGAGGTTGAAGTTGATGTCTTACAAAAAGATGAGGGCATTGATCATTTAGGGGGCCGTGCTGAACCTAATCCGAATTTATATATTGAAGAGAGTCCCGTAGGAATAATCATTCAAGGAGACCTTTTTGAGTCATCTAAGAATTTATCACAAAATGAGGGTCTTCTTGAGCCATTTTTCATGAAGCCAAACACCCCTAAACGTGTGCCTTTATTGGATTATTTTATACGATGGGGTGAGTTCAAATCTTTTTTATAAAGTATTTATTCTTCTTTGGCTTCATGAATACACGGGTCTGCGCCACCTTACGGCGATAATCCAGAAGAAACTCGAGACTCTCGAGGAGAGTGCTCCTTTAGTTTTGTTTATTTTACCTAGTTTAGAATAATGGGGTCAAGATAATGACGTTAAATTAGCGCTTAACGGGAGGCAAGCCGTAATAATAATAATAATAATAATAATAATAATAATAATAATAATAATAATAATAATAATAATAATAATAATAATAATAATAATAATAATAATAATAATAATAATAGTAATAATAATAACAAATTTAGCTCTAGTTTTTTTACACTATCACACACTGTGCACTTGCTCTTTTTCTCTTTTGTTGTTTTCTTTTCTTTTGCAGGGGAAACGAAGAGAAGCCATTGTGCAGTGAGCCCTGTAAGTCTTTCGCACCCAAATTGCCTTAATGCATAGAATTATTTTCTATTGAAAATAACTTTTTATCTCTAATCTTGGCCAAAATTTTTAACTTTTTATGATCACAAAAATCTTGCCTCTCATCATATGCTTCACACTAAATGTGAGGAGGATTGTCCTACATGGATTTTCTACTTGCATCCCACATTTGGACCTCGAGGGCGAGGTCAAGCTTAAGTGTGAGGAGGCAAAGTTAAATATCAGGGATGATTACATTCTAAAATTTTTAATTCCTCGTTCAATAATCAATTAATAAGTATTTAGTATTTAAATTACTTTACATGTTCTTTTATTTTCTAACAATTTAAATAACTACTCACTGTTTTCAAAAATCTCAACAATGGACTTTTATTTTAAAGATTTTGCATGAGTTGGGTTCTGGTTGAGTAAGTTAAGGTTTTTAATTACTTCACGATTGTAGGTCTTTTGGTAGCTCTATCTTTTTCAGAAATAAATAAACAAAGCTGACTGTAAGGGTTGCGCTTTAGTGACGAATTGGGAATCCTATCTCCGAGAAGGAGCTCTACTTCTCCCGTGAATCGCATAAGGCGAGGGAGCAGGTATGCGTATGTAATGGGATAAACCCACAACCCGAATAGTTTTGCCGTTTTCTTGCATGCTGAATTGAGTATCCTATCTCCTTTGGAGCTCTGCCCTTCTATTATTATTAAAAAAATGTCATAAGCAATAAAAAGGGCATTATGGGATAGCTCACAAAAAAAATAAAAATATAATTTACTCAATTCAGATACGTAGACCAAAAGACTACAAATCGTTATTATTTACTAACCTTAAAGGATTATTAGAAGAAAAACTTACTCATGCAAACTTTTAAAGTTCATTGTTAAATTCTTGAAATGAATGATGAGATATTTAGTTGTTAGAATATAAAGAAAGGTGTGAAGTAATTAAAGCTAATGTTATTAATTGATTATTGTAAGGAAGTAAAATTTTAGAATGTAATCAAGCAATCTTTTTCATACTAGTGTCAGTTGATGGTGAGTTGCTTGAGGGGAAGCAACTTTTAAGTGTGAGGAGATTGATAAGTCCATTTCGTACTTATCTTTTTACTCATATTTAATTCGTTCTTGTACCATTTTTGTTATCAAAACAATAAATTCTTTATTCTTTTCGGTCAAAAATATATGTTTTGATGAATTGATCATAAAAAAAGAATATCTTTGAATTAATATGTAAAATTGGGCCAAGAATGGAGTAAAAAAAGAGTAAATTTTAATAGAAAAACAATTCTATCTCACAAACGGTGCGGAATTAGAAGTCGGTGCAGAAGGAAAAAGTGTTCAGAACGAAATTTTGAGCAGGGTAGCATTGACAGTTTGTGGCGGCCCGACAGGCGACCTGGCTGGCGGTAGCCTACCTGGCCGCCGGTCAGAAGGCGGCTGTTACACTACCGGGGGATACAAATATCGGGCCAGAGTTGGAAGATGTTCGGAACGAAGATGCGAGTGTTCGGGCCGAGAGTGAACGTGAAGGAAGCATTGGGCCAAGGCATTCTAAACGGATCCCTAAACCCCCGGCAAAATTAAATGATTACCTTTATTAAATTATTCATTGTAATTTAGATTTTTATTAGGTGAGAAAAATATAAGCTCCTTCGAGGGTTTCTTTACGGTTCTTTACCTCGTCGCTTTTTCTTGAACCGTCAGAATAGATAACGTAGTATTTTAGGGTTAGGGTTTTACTCTATAATTATAAATAGAGATGTAAGCCTCCTTCTCAATCATTAAAGAAATAAACCATCTCTAGAACCCTATTTTCTGGCTCGCCTCCCTCGGCCGTACGTCCTTCTTCTGCCCTCAACCCCATCTCCTTCTTCTCCTTCTATTCCTTCCCTAGTCTCCCTCTATCAACTGGTGCTTTCATTCCTGCACTCCAAGCCTCCTTCACCATGAGCGAACCAACACCCATCCCTACTGCATCGTCGGGTGACGAAGTTGTCACCGCTATACAAAATCTTGCATTGGAACTCCGTTCTCACCGCCAGGAGCAGTTGGCTCTCATGCAGGAGTTTCGCACGACACGATTGGAACATGCTGCCCTTTCTCAACGGGTGGACCAGGTATATTCCATCTTGGATTCCGGGTCCGTCGCAGCGGCTAAAGGTAAGGGGCTGTTGGGCCCACGACCTCCACCAGATCCCACGGGCATCGGCGATCCATTTGACAGGGATCACCCGGTTCAGCCCCACGACGAGCGCCCCGGCCATGAGATTTGTCCGCCCAAAGTTCGTGTGGATGCTCCTAAGTTCAATGGAATTGATCCGAATGGTTGGGTTTACAAAGCCCAATCATACTTTGATTACTTCCACCCCCCCGAAGCCGACCGCCTACGTCTCGTGGGTCTTCTATTTGATCATCCCGCTTCAGATTGGTTCTTGTACCAGCACAATAATGGCCTGGTCACATCATGGTCGGAATTTTTGGAGGCAGTAAAGCAACGCTTTGATCCGGCCCATTATGAAGATTACGTGGCTCTCCTTTCTAAATTGCAGCAGCGGACTTCTGTCCTTGATTATCAAATGGCTTTCGAACGATTGTTGAATAAAATCTCTGGCGTCTCCGAACCCACGCTGATTTCCATTTTTAAGGGTGGTTTGAGACCTGCGATCCGTCGTGAGGTCAACTTACGGGCACCAACATCCTTGGGACAAACTTTTGCACTCGCCCGCGAGTTGGACGCCAACCATAGCGAGACACTGGCGAGTATCTCTGCCGGACAGCGGCGATCGTGGCAACACAACCCTGCCTCTAGTTCAATACCTCCGAAATCAGCGGTCACACAGGCGCCAACAGTCCCCACGGCCTTGCCTGTTCGTTGCCTCTCCCCGGCTGATCGCGCTGCCCGCTCCGCCCAAGGCCTCTGTTGGAATTGTGATGAAAAATTTACAGCCGGCCACCGTTGTGCTCATCGCTTTCTTGCTTTATTAGGGACAGACGATGAGGAACCGGTGGAACCCGTGGAGCACCAGGCCGAGGAGGAACCCCTCCTCACCGGGGATGTCTCATGCATGCATTCTCTCGCTGGAGCGCCTAATCCGCGGGCGTTACGGCTGTCCGGCCGCATTCTGGGGCGCACTATCCAGATACTAATAGATGGTGGTAGTACGCATAACTTTATCCATCCCCAGGTGGCCGAGTCGCTGCGCTTACTATTGGAGCCTATTCCACCGTTCCGAGTTTATGTGGGTAACGGGGCGTCGTTAGCATGTACTCACAAGTCTGTCAACATCCGCTTAACAATTCAAGGCCATGATATTCTCTCGGATCTGTTCGTGCTCTCCATTCATGGTACGGATGTTGTTTTGGGTGTCCAATGGCTCCAAAGCTTGGGCAAGATTTCGCAGGATTATGCCAACTTGACATTGGAGTTCCGGAAGGGGGACTCGGTGGTGACCTTACGTGGGGATACCCACACACCACAAGGTCTTTCATATAATGCCATGCACACCCTCCACGGTTCTCGGGAGATTACGGCAGTGTACGAGGTGTATCTCCTCTCCTCGGGCCAGCCTGAAAATGGACTGCAAACCCTTGCATGGCCTCCGGATATCCCGTCCGCGGTAATGGCAGTACTCACACGACATGCACAGGTTTTCCAGGTCCCCGAAGGTCTCCCACCATCACGCATTTGGGACCACAAAATCCATCTTCAATCGGGTTCTCCGCCGGTTAATGTTCGGCCATACCGGTACCCCTATTTTCAGAAGACCGAGCTCGAGAAGCAGGTGCGAGAGATGTTGACCCAGGGTTTGATTCAACACAGCCGGAGTCCATTCTCCTCTCCGGCCTTACTAGTGAAAAAGAAGGATGGATCGTTCCGTTTTTGCGTCGACTACCGGGCATTGAATGCAGTCACGGTCGCCGATAAGTTTCCCATTCTCACCGCGGATGAGCTGTTTGATGAACTCGGCCAGGCGCGCCTGTTCACCAAGCTCGATCTTCGCTCCGGTTACCATCAAATCCGGATGCATGCAGAAGACACCTTTAAGACGGCGTTCAGAACACACGAGGGTCACTACGAATTTCTGGTTATGCCGTATGGCCTCACTAATGCTCCATCTACTTTCCATGCCGTAATGAATCATGTGTTTGCTCCCTATCTTCGTCGGTTTGTCATCGTTTTCTTTGATGATATTTTGGTTTACAGCCCTACGTTGGACCTTCATGCTTCTCACTTGAATTTGGTTTTGGGTATTTTGGCTACTAATCATTTCTTTGTTAAATTGAGTAAATGTAGTTTTGCCCAGGCAAAGGTGGACTATCTCGGTCATTGGATTTCGGAGGGGACGTTGAAGGCTGACCCCGCCAAGCTGGAGGCCATGGCTTCTTGGCCGAACCCAAAAACAGTAAAACAACTCCGTGGCTTCCTCGGTTTAACAGGATACTACCGCCGTTTTATTCGTGGGTATGCTACCTTGGCGGCACCTTTGTCCGAGCTGTTAAAAAAGGATGGATTTCAATGGTCGAAGGATGCGACAGAGGCATTCCAGCGGCTCAAAAGTGTGATGATGCAGCCGCCAGTTTTGCAGCTACCAGACTTCACTAAAATTTTTGTTTTGGAAACTGATGCCTCCGATGCCGGCGCGGGTGCGGTGTTACTACAAGACGATCATCCCATTGCATACTTTAGCAAGAAATTTGGTCCTCGGCGTCGGCTTGCCTCTGGAATCAGTGCACAAATGGCGACAATATTTATTGGGTCAGGACTTCATCATTCGGACGGATCAACGAAGTCTTAAAGAGCTTTTGTTTCAAGTTGTACAAACCCCGGACCAGCAATTCTATATTCGCAAGCTCATGGGATATAAGTTTCGCATTGAGTATAAGACCGGGGCCTCTAACAGGGTGGCCGATGCTCTTTCCCGACCGGAGGAGTCAGATGATACAGCGGTTCTATTCACCCTCTATGCTCAGCCACTACCCAAACTCCTTCATAGGGTGCGGTCAGAGAACTCCTCCATGCCGGATCTGGTTGCCCTACACACGGCCGCAACTAGTGGAACACTCAGCGCCCCCTATTCGGTACATAATGGCATTCTTTACTATCATCATCGCGTGTGTTTAAGCACTACATCCAACCTCAAGGGAGAGATTCTACAGGAATTCCACTCCTCACCGAGCGCAGGCCATCCGGGGATTGAACGCACTTTTCGCCGTGTGGCGGCTGTTTTCTTTTGGCCCCATATGCGCCGGGATATCGCAGCTTTTGTCGCCTCGTGTCTCACATGCCAGGCAACCAAATATTCGACTCAAAAACCAGGGGGTCTGTTGCAACCCTTACCGGTTCCCGGTCGTGTGTGGGATGATGTGACGATGGATTTTATAGTGGGCTTACCGCCGTCGAAGGGCATGATGTCAATCATGGTGGTTGTGGACAGGTTGACAAAGTACGGGCATTTTGGCCCACTGCCGACCTCCTTTGATGCTGCCAAGGCTGCTTCCTTGTTCGTCGAGATTGTAGTTCGTCACCACGGGTTTCCGGCATCCCATGTCTCCGATAGGGATCCCATTTTCATCAGCAATTTTTGGAAAGAACTCTTTCGGCTAAGTGGCACAACTCTTAAACGCAGCACATCATACCATCCTCAATCTGACGGTCAGACGGAGGTTTGTAACCGGGATCCGGAGCAGTACTTGCGGGCCTACTGTCATGAGCGTCCGTCTACGTGGGTGTCCTTCCTTCCGTGGGCAGAATTGGCGTTGAATTCCACATATCACGCGGGGCTGAAAACGTCACCGTTCAAGGCTTTATATGGCCGAGATCCTCCGCCTTTGCTCTCACATACGACGGGCAGTAGCCGCGTCCCAAGTGTCGAGACCTTACTTCAAGAGCGGGGGGCTGTGATTCGGTTACTGCGGAAGAATCTCATCAGCATGCAGCAGCGGATGGTTGCCACGGCCAATAAACATCGACGTCACGTTGAATTTCAAGTGGGGGATCTGGTGTTGCTCAAGCTCCAACCGCACAGGCAGTTTTCGGTGGCGAAACCAAGATCGGCCAAACTTGCACGCCATTTTTATGGCCCATTTGAGGTACTGGCCAGGGTGGGGAAGGTGGCATATCAACTGCAGCTGCCGGACGAGGCTCGTATTCACAACGTTTTTCACGTCTCTCTCCTTCGGCCATTTGTGAGAGGTATTGCCACCCCACCAATCACTGTTTTCCCCAAGGAATTCTGCAATGGTGCTCCGGTGTCCGTCCCTGTTCGTGCTATTGCGTCTCGCCGGGTTCTTGTGCATGGCGCACCGCAAGACCAATGGTTGGTCGTCTGGTCTGATGGTGGGGAGAGCGACGCCACGTGGGAACCTATGACGCACCTCCGGCAGGTTTATCCGACGCTAGTCCTTGAGGACAAGGACGTTCTTCATGGGGGGGATAATGTTACACTACCGGGGGATACAAATATCGGGCCAGAGTTGGAAGATGTTCGGAACGAAGATGCAAGTGTTCGGGCCGAGAGTGAACGTGAAGGAAGCATTGGGCCAAGGCATTCTAAACGGATCCCCAAACCCCCGGCAAAATTAAATGATTACCTTTATTAAATTATTCATTGTAATTTAGATTTTTATTAGGTGAGCAAAATATAAGCTCCTTCGAGGGTTTCTTTACGGTTCTTTACCTCGTCGCTTTTTCTTGAACCGTCAGAATAGATAACGTAGTATTTTAGGGTTAGGGTTTTACTCTATAATTATAAATAGAGATGTAAGCCTCCTTCTCAATCAATAAAGAAATAAACCATCTCTAGAACCCTATTTTCTGGCTCGCCTCCCTCGGCCGTACGTTTTTCTTCTGCCCTCAACCCCATCTCCTTCTTCTCCTTCTATTCCTTCCCTAGTCTCCCTCTATCAGCGGCAACGACGAGAAAAGCAGGAGAATTCTTCAGCGGCGCCGGCAGGCTGGCCGGCGGCCGCCGGTCTGCTCGCCGGTCTGTGATCCTCTTCTATAAATGTCCAGCGCAGATCTTCTCTTTTCCCAGGCTTCTCCAATTGCGATTTTCCCCTTTTTAGGGGTGAAAATTCTCCCTTTTGATTTTTAATATTGTATTAAAATTGTGTGGGTTTAATTTCATCATCTTACGTTAATTCTCAAGTTGTTGAATCACTGTAAGTTTTTCTTTTCTTTTTTATTGTAATTTTTATTAATAAAATTTTACTTTGTTGATGATTGATATGTGTTTGAAGATTTTATATGTTATTATGATGATGTTGAATGTTTTGGTTGAAATTATGAATTGGTAATTATATACGGGTTAGGATTC